TAGAAAACCAAGAAACAGAACCGGGCAGAAACTGGAAAGTGGTACAATGTGTGGACTATAAAAATTCAGCAAAGAGAGAGACGGATACTAGATAAGCATTTTTCTTCTTCACCAGCCACGCCACAGCTGAGCTACTATAATTCCATCTCAAAATAATGTACAAAGGGCAGAGTTTGAATTCATAATCAAACAGCTAGCTGATTCCTTGGAGAAATATTTATATTTTGATTTGCCCAAGATAAGTGATTTTTTCATATTAAGCAGATTAACTTTAATCATTTGAAAAGACATTCTACCATATTAAGAATATTTCCCTTAGTAAACACAACATGAAAATTGTTCATTAGTTAGGGGAGGAGGTGGAACTGGCTAACCTCTGGATTAATTTACTCTGTAGATTTTGCCCTCTTAACTACACCCTTCCCCATCTTCAACCTCCATAACCAACAGCAGGGAAACAAAAACCTTAGAGAACAGGTTACCACTGTGTCATTTCATTCATTTCCACAGTGTTGGTTCTGTAGCAAAGTATTTAAATAAGAGTTAAAATGATGTCAATCGCAATCATGCCAATTTATAATCCTTAATCAGTTTACATTCTGATTTTTCATGATTGGGCTACATCACGAAAAACATCTCCTTGACAGAATATTAATGAATTATCCTCAAACTGCAAATAATATTCAATAACTGTTGCATTTAAGTATAAACACTATTAAATTTTCAAATTTATATGATCCAGACATTTTAAATCTTATAACTCCTCAATCTTAGCAGAGTGCATCCTTTTATTTCCTGGGGGGCATTTGTCCACTCCTAACCTTTTTACCTTCAGAAAATAAATGGCGCATGTGACTTGAAAATTGAATGAATCTTGACTGAGGAAGAAATAAAACTAGCTAATGTCTTTATGATCTCCATAGCATGCCTACAGGGCAGATACTGTTGCTGTTTCGGTTTTCTAAGATGTATTCTATCTTGCTAATCCTCAATAAATATGAAAAACTGATCATTTCACAGCTAAGAATTCACAAACCAGAACACACTTCTCATTTGAATAGACAAGATAAGCAGGGTGCCACCAGCGCTGGCATCTCTGCCTTCTGGTGTGTCAGGTCCCAGGCAGACACTGTCAGTTCATTCTTAGGTCACAGCTCTCACATTTCTATTTGTCTATTCCTGGACCAGGGCTCAGATTCATATTCCAAACAGCCTCCTGTCTAAGGACCATTCTGCTACCTACCTACCTTCTGCAACATAATTTACAGAAATGGGTACCTCCAATTAAACCATTCCAGGTGTAAATTTCTTGCCCCGAGAGCGAATTGCATAATGAATGGGATTCATGAATATAAATTGGGCTTCCTTTACACTTGGGTTTCATTTTGAAATTGTAGAGCATTATTCGCTCTCCACATAAATCTTTATTTGCCTTCAGTGTGTTTACTGTGGGAAGCCCAGTGCAGAGCTGGTAGCCCATTGCTATGCATAACTGAATATTAAAGTTCACAAATCATCAGGCAGAGGAGGCCTGCGGAGGGGGACACCCCAGCCACTCTGTCTGTGCTCTCAGCAAAGACGAATGGGGCCCTCACCGGCTCTGCATCTCCTCGGGGAAGGGGTCACACCAACCTTCTCACTCGTTTTCTCTCCTTCAGTGTTATGTGATGTGCTTCCTCGTCCTTCCAAGGCATTCTGTTTTGAGTTTGTCTTCACATCTCTAATATAAGACTTCTTTTCCCTTCACCCCAATTTTGGTTTAGAGCGGGCATAACAAACGAATTTCTCATAGGCAACCTCAATTTATTTTTCAGCAGACTCTGTGAAACAGAGTCATTTGGAAGATGGCTCTGTGAAAGGACGGAGGAGTCCCATAAGCAAATACAAAAGTGATGTTTTGAAGCCAGGCCACATGGCACCTCTCCTGCCGTCCTCTCTCCCCTCCTTCCCTCTCCTCTTCTTTTTTTTTTTGTTTACGTGGTAATCATATATATTTTGTAAACGCTCCGTGAAGGCCCGCTAGGCTTTCATCCTGTGACATTTCTCTCATTTTCAACCTGTGCTTTGAATCTTCATCCGGAAATAAGGTTCTGTTACAGTCACCGTCACATGGACTTGACAGTGCACTCACGTCGCCTGCTCTCTGCTGAAGCACTAAATTGATCGGGAAGACTGTTGGTCGCAAGTTTTCTACAACCATGCCAACTTATTTTCTTCTTATATAATAATTCTTATCACAGTGAATTTGATGTGGCTAGGAATAATGTAAAAATAAAATAATAAAATCGCAACAGACTTTTCCAGGGCCAGTGGATACATGAATTAGAGTGGAAGACCTAGACAATGGGAAATAATAGAAACTTTTTTTTTAAATTTATTGATATTGGTTAGTAAAATTATATAGGTTTCAAGTGTAATAAGATTCTATAAGATATCATCTATCAATTGTATTGTGTGCTCATCACCCAGAATTATAGTCTTAATAGGTGGTGTCTTTATAAAATATTCAAAATAATAAATTAAAACCACTGTGAAAATGAACTAAGGTAAAGAATATGAATGTAAAACAACAACAGAACCCAAAAAGAGAGTGAAAGGGTGACTTGTAAATTATACACTCGCCTTACCCACCAATCGCAGGCACAGGTCAGGCCTCCCGACTTGGTTTTTCACCAGGCTCGCTCTCTGAGATGTTCCGGGATGACTACAACTTGGTTCATCTCATTTGATGAATTGAGCTGATCTCCTAGCTCAGTGACTATTTGCAAGCCTTGTTTCCATCATGTTTCTAAGACTAGTGAAGACATTTTTTTGTAGGGCCAAGGATAGTAAAATATTATCCTCCGTAAACACTGTGATATAATTTTATGTTTCCTTACCTTCCCCAACTTAAAGTTAAAGACTCTCACATGAGCTCCAAGTATAGTTATTTACTCACAATGCATTCATTAAGAATTAATATTAGTAATTAAGAATTATTTTTATCCTTTGTTTCAATTTTTAAAAATCTAATAGTAAAGCTTAGTTTAGTGTTTGTGTTGAGAAAAATCCAGTATTTAAAGATTCTCTTTCAGAGAATTGTATTAAGACAGCAGTTGCATTCTCAGGTATTCAGTATGGTTAATAATACAGGCTCTGAAAGGACTTTATTTTACAGCATAAAGTGAATTTGTTTCATTTCTCTGCCACCATATCATTTTCACCTAAATCCTCACTTTCTTCCCAACATTTATAAGCATAGTTCACAGCCTTCCTTCAAGAATAGAGGTTTCGCCAGTGAAGACATACAGATGGCCAATAGACATATGAAAAGATGCTCAAAGTCACTAATCATCAGAGAAATGCAAATTAAAACCACAATGAGATATCACTTCACATCTCTCAGAATAAATCAACAAACAATAGTGTTGGTGAGAATGTGGAGAAAAGGGAACCCTCATGCACTGTTTGGTGGAATTGCAAATTGGTGCAACTACTATAGAAAAGGGTATGGAAATTCCTTAAAAAATTAAAAATAGAACTACTTTTGACCCAGCAATTCCTCCTCTGGGTATTTATCCAAAAAAATCCAAAACACTAATTCAAAAAGATATACATACCCCTATGTTCACTGCAGCATTATTTACAACAGCCATTATATGGAAGCAACCTAAGTGCCCATTAATAGATGACTGAATAAAGAAGATGTGGTACATATATATAATGGAATATTACTCAGCCATAAAAAAGAATGAAATCTTCCCATCTGCAACAACATGGATGGACCTAGAGGGTATCATGCTAAATGAAATAAGTCAGACAGAGAAAGACAAATGCCATATGATTTTACTTATATGTGGAAATCTAAACAACAACATAAACAAACAAAACAGAAACAGACTCATGGATGCAGAGAAGAAACTGATAGCTGCCAGATGGAAGGTGGGTTGGGGGGGTCTGGGTGAAAAAGGTGAAGGGACTGAAGTACAAATTGGTAGTTACAAAATAGTCACAGGGATATAAAGTACAGCTGAGAGAATATAGTCAATAATATTGTAATAACTATGTATGGTGCCAGGTGGGTACTAGACTTATTGGGGGGATCACTTCGTAAATTATATAAATGTCTAACCACTATGCTGTATACTTGAAACTAATATAAAATAATATTGAATATCAACTGTAATTGAAAATTTTTTTTAAAATTTAAAGAATACTTAAATTACTTGTGGTGGTGGAGGTTAAAATAATTAGAACAGATAAATTCTGGTCCACTAAAAAAGAAAGAAAATAAACCTAACCAAATGACCTACCTAGAAGGACACATAACAGATAAATTTAAATATTGCATTCTGTATTACCTGTTATATGTATATGGTTACTTATTGGAGTGTTTTGCCAGAACATTCCCTTGGAGCTAGTGGTGAAGCAGAATAAAAGTATGCCATACTTTCCACTTACCATTGCTTTTTGTCTAAGCCAACGGACATTGAATTAACATAGTGAATCGTTTTGTTCACAAGGACATGGAAAATAGAATGCATGTAAAGTTAATAGGCTATTTGGGGGTCTCCAGGTGAAATGAGGTTGTACAAAGGGTGAGCGTAAGAGAATGAGTCAATTTAATTAGAAAAAACTTGATAATCTGTGAATTCTCTGAATATCATCAAAACAAAAGCAAAAGACATATATGAAAGTTACAATTTATAGCTGTCAACGGATGTCAGTTGAAGTTCCTGTGTTTGTGTCATGAAGAATTTACCATTTTGACAACATGCTCGTGGAACCATTCTGCATACAGATGGAAATATCAGTCAATTTTTTTTTACTCTCATCCATTCTTAGAAACAAACAAACAAACAAAAAATGCATTCTTACAAAATAAGCATTTGGATAACACATTTCTGGCATGGAAATTGAGATATCTGAAAGTTGTCTTGCAAACAAGTGCTCTCGTCCCACCAAGTATCACTTGTGTGTTTCCTGGTACAACCAGTTCAAAAGGTGGTTTTTCTTCGCAGGTTACCAGCCAGTCATATCCGGTCAACAGGGGTTTCAAGGCCTCATGGGAGTGCAGCAGCCACCTCAAAGTCAGAGCGTGATGAGCAACCAAACAGGAACTCCGGTGCAAAGCATGATGGTCTCCTACCCAACCATGTCTTCTTATCAGGTGCACATCAACGGCATGGAAATTGTGGGTTATAAAGTATTACTTGCACAAGCAGAGGCTTTGGGTCCGTCCCTGTATCGGGTGGTTGGGTGGGTGGTGGGTGCTAGGCAGAGCCACTATTGATGGTTGACTTGGAATTGAGATTATATACACAAGTAGAAAACGGTAAACGAATGCTTCTATAACTACTGTGGCTTTTGCATGCCCCGCTAAGAGTAGTTCCATATAAACTTTCTATTCATGGAGGGAAATTCTTTAGCCTAAACTTCTATTCAAGAAGGCCTTCGGGCATTCTATTGAAACTTTTCTTATTGGGAGAAAGCCCTAATGCCAAAGTCCCATTCATTTTCGTATACCCCCCAAAAAAACTTCACTTGACCACACTTTTAAGTTATAAGAAATTTTAAAATGGCATCTCAGATTTATTAAAAGGGCATCTATGGGGCCTAACCACTGCATTTTCCAGACTAAACATACATTAGGTATTTAAAAAGTGTTCTGCACTTCTTTGTGATTTATATCCTGAAATACACTGGAAGTGGAAGTGAAAGGTTAGTGAAATGCTTTATTCATTACATTTAGCTACACCAGGCACTTCTGGCCCTAAAGAACTTATCCTCAGCCCTCCTACCCTGACAGTCCTTATTTATTGCATCAATTTCTAGCTTCAGCTCCATAGATGTTCTCTAAAGCTGTAGGTTGAGAGTGAGTTAGAGTCTTGGATAAAAGTCCATCTTGCTATAGATGCCTCCAGGCCACTCTGTTAGCATGAAACCAGAATGGGAGCGTGGCTTTCCAAACGGAGACATCAGCGTGGGAGATCTGGACTGTAGTCCATGCAAGTTGATGAGAGAGAAGCTCAGAACACAGAACACCTTATGACAATTTACTGCACATCAGACATGTACCAAGCATTGTACGTCATCCCTGCAATCTTCTTGGTGGCACTTTGAAGTAGGTGTCATTATGCAAATGATCTAGGGAATCAGAGAGTTTATGTGACTTGCCCAATGTGAAACAGCTAATCAAAGGTAGATCTGAGATTGGTGAACTATTAGGCCTCACTCAAATGTTGACTATTTTTCATGAACCGCAGTATTGTTGCATGAAGGGTTCTCTTTTGTGTCTTCCTACAGGTGCCAATGACCCAGGGTTCTCAAGGACTGCCCCAGCAGTCATACCAACAGCCAATCATGCTACCTAACCAGGCAGGTCAAGGGTCACTCCCAGCCACTGGATTGCCCGTGTACTGTAATGTCACACCGCCGACCCCTCAGAACAACCTTAGGCTGATTGGCCCACACTGTCCCTCCAGCACTGTCCCTGTGATGTCGGCTAGCTGCAGGACAAACTGTGCGAGTATAAGCAACACCGGGTGGCAGGTCAAATTCTGAGGCTCTGGCTGTGGTACATTTCTTCAGATATTGCTCACGGCCTTTGAAGGACGAGGAACAAGGTGGGAAAACTGGCTGAGGACTTAAGTATTCACTCAACACTCAAACGATTGCTGCTGGTATTCTGTAAAAAAAAAAAAAATACAAAGACTAATATACACATTAGCTGGTTAATGGTGCATATTTCTGTCATGTCTGCTAGGTATGCCTTTATAGCTTAGCTAGTGACATGAATTCATCAAGGTAAGATTTTCTCCTACCACTGAATACCACTGTGTAGACTATAATATCCCTAATTTGGATTATTAGTTTTGTACTTTGTGTTGAGTTTGTGATGTTCAAAGTATTTAAAAATTATATACTGAACTCATATTGTACCAAAGCTGTAACGGAACAGAGAAGAATTGATGAATGGAAGGAATAATTTATATACACTATAGAGTTTTCTTTTTTAATGGATATATACTGTATTGTAGTGTTTAATCAAAATAAAACTATTTGACCTTATGGAGGAAGGTCATGTTTTTACCACCAGTTTGGTTCACTCTCTCTTCCCATATGTGTTTGCTTATATGTCACTGTTACCCCCTTGGAGCACAATTTCATGAATCATGCATGGAAAAGATGTTCCAGGTATTTGTATGTGAACCGGAATAATATTGGGAGACGTGGTAGGCAAACAGCCAACTGTAGTTTCTTATTCTACTACTACAGGCATCCTGGAAGCAAGATGGCATCTATTTCACCCATTGATTGCACGTTTTTGAGATGTATACTGCGGTTTTCATTTTAGGTTAATCGAATGCACTTAGCTATAGTTCCCCAATTAGGAAAGCCTGAGTGTCTTGGTAACAGCCGTCCCATATCAAGCCCTGTTCCACCTTCATTCAAGTTCCACCTTCTACCTGGAAAACAAGATTTCTTTGTTTAAAGGGAAATCAGAAGAGGCATGATCTAATTCCATCTATTATATTGGGTCGCACCTTGTAAAGTGCCACCAGTATTGGCAGTGAGTCAATAACTCAAAGATGCTAATGTTTGTCCTAGTAACTTAAAAGAAGGTAAAATACAGCAATAGCTTACTCACAAAGATGGAGCGCATTGGCAAAAACTTTTAGAAGAGGCTTACTCCTATCTAATCCCAAAGAGTTTAATCCCCTGTAGATTCTGCAGTTAAGATTGATTTATGACAAGCTTTGAAAAATAATAACAGAACTCTGAGTGTCAGCTTTGGCCTTCTAGGAGATATTTAATGGGGGAATAAAACCCCAGAGCTTTCACTTTACTATCACAGTACAATACCTAATAGTTCCATGTTATATACTTTCTGCCTAAAATCCACTCTTACCAATGAGAGGGATATGGAAATTATATCGGGATAATTCCCATTGTTTTTCATTTTATCACATTCTCTATATTAGATTTTTTTTCCTATTGTCATGTTGTTTAGCTGGAGATAGCTAAGCCACTAGTTAAGAAACTCTATCTAAAAGATTACTATTTCTTAATTTTATACTTTCATTTTTTGCTTTAAAAGGGAACCTTCACACATCCTCTCATTAGCGTCATTCCTTGTAAAGTCTGTCCCATTTTCCCAAACCTCAGCCTACTGATTTCTTCATCATAAATAAGCCCTAACCATGGAAAATGTTATGAAAAGAAGATGTTGCATTTTTTTTAATTTAGCCATTAAACCAATAGGCTGAGTAGCTATTAAACCAATAGCTTCTCTGAGAAGGAGCGATGTGTTTGCTTAATTAACATCTTCCCCTAATGGAAGGATGGGGCCGAACAATATAGTTTCATTTTTGAAATATATTCTCTATTAAATCCTCTGATCTTGGCAATGATCCCAAATTCAAGGATCTAAATATGAATCTGAATGTTTATCTTCTTTTCATAGAATTCTGGGACAGTTTGATCTTTTCTTTAATGATCCCTAGAATTACTGAGCCTTCTTTCTTGTAGATTTGAAACATGCATCATGTTAGCAGTAAAGAGGGGCTCCCTTTCGCTTTGACCACTCTCCTCCAAATGTGTCACACTCTTTCATAGTTAAACGTTTGACTTATATTGCATAAGTCTTTTTGCATACAATTTCAGGCTGCGCCTTCTTATCTACTTTCACTAAATACTGATATCCAGCATTATGCTATTCCAAATCTTATGTCATGCTGTTTGTTTGTTTTTTTTTTAAGATTTTTATTGGGGAATTGGAGGGATGGGAACAGCGCTGGGGAATCTGGGGAAGGGGAACAGACAAGTTGCTATCCTTTTATTCTTCAGTCTAGTTATGGAGGATGTCGCTTTACTGGCCCATGTTGGTATTATCATTGTGCTCTTCCCGGGTGAGGCAGATCAGTCGCCGGCTTCTGGACAGCCGCTCACAGAGGCTCTTGGCAGCTTACTTGGGCTGCCGGCCACACACGGTAGCTTAAGGCAGCGCACTCACTGCAGCAGGGGCTGCAGCCTACGCCGTCACGGCGACTCACGGCAGCCCAACTCCAGGTTGAGCTGTTGTTCAGCATCTTAGCTGTAGAGGGCAGTGTCACTGGCCCTCATGTGGGATCTGAACCGGGGCCCTCTGGCGTCAGCCCAACTCCAGGGTGAGCTGTTGTTCAGCATCTTAGCTGCAGAGGGCAGTGTCACTGGCCCTCATGTGGGATCTGAACCGGGGCCCTCTGGCGTCCCAAGCCAGCTCTTAACCAACGCGCCACTCGGCCGGCCCCTGTCATGCTGTCTTTTACATTAGAATATTTGAGATAGTTGTGAAGAAAGATAGTGATTTAGAATGAAGTTATAAATCATTGTAACAAAATAAGTGGGGTACATAGGAACCAGAGCAGCTTTATGAGAGAGATTGAAAGACAAAATAAATACAACTGGGGAAGAAAATGCTGCCACAGAAATGGCTTTTGAGACCTAATAAATTGCATATTTAGACTCTGCTCCCAGTTTTGCCAGCAGTTAGAGTGTGATGGGATGCTTTCATCCTCCCATCCTCCTGATACCTATAATATATATATATATATATACTATATACACAGGTATGTATTGTGGACAGAGGTGCAGGCCCACCCCTCACCCATGCCCTGGCACTTACCATCACAAGAAACTTTGGTCACTGACAGACCAAAAAAGAAAGTATTGTAAATACCTCACCCTCAGGGCGAAGTTAAAACAAATTGTTTGGGGTTTGCATCGAAATAATATCTTTGAATAGTAGTTTCTCAATTATGTCCATGGAAGATTGCTTTCTTGGGATGCTTAGAGTTGTTATAAAAAACACTAAGGAGAATTATAATTAGGAGACATGGTTAGCAAAGGTTAAGCAATCTTTTTAAAAGGTACCTAATTTCTGAAAACCTTTAACGCATCACTTTATGTTATGAATTTCTAAGAGGAAGACATAATGTGCCTAGTTCCTCAAACTTACATAAACACAATATCCTTTTATCACAAGCTGTATCAAAAGACTAAAATTAGAAGGAAGATATATTTTGTTAATTAGACAAAAATAACCTTTTAGGTAGTCCACCAAAAGAGGGTTTATTCGGGAAAAGAAAACAAAACCACCACAGCACCTTCTGGGTGCACGCACCTTCTGGCCAGCTACCCACATGCAAAAGAGAGGGATCTCCCAAGATGGTTCCCATACATACTCCTCCCAACCCCCCCACCCCTGGCAGGAAGTTAGAACCATAAAGCTTAACAGGAAGTCTGGACTAGAGAGTAACCGGAAGCCCAGGTCCAGCCACAGAACTCTTACTTCCCTGGTCAGTTTCCTTAAAGTGCCAGTTTGCTTTAAAAATTTTTTTAAACGTTTTTAAAAATTCTATCAGAGAGTCCTAAAACAAGAGTACAAATATAGTTATTTTATTTCTATAGAAACCATGTTATATATCAAGATGTCATATCTCAACCCTACTTCCAACTATGACAACTTTCAGTGACTGCACAAGTGTGCACTGTTTCCTCTGTGAATGTGTGAGTCTGGAAGGCGATGCCATGGTGCCAGAATTTCTGGGCCATATTTTCTTAAATCATTTTTGTTGAAGGATTTGCTGCTTATATCTAAAATTATAGTAATAGTCATATAGCTATATAGATACAGGCCTCTCCAACGAGCCTTTATACCTCTATGTGAGTACAAAAGAGAACAAGAGTGACTTATGCGTTCATTTATTCCACAGAGCTTTTATTGCATACTTCCTAATTTCAAGACTTTGTGCTACAGTCTATGGAGCCCCTGCTTTTAGGAAGTTGATGATTTTCAGCATTAATTATACCAGTATGTAAATAGCTAAAACTATAAAAAATTGTTCATGTAAAGATAGGATTTTGAGAAGGAGCAGAAGGCTTCTCTGGCTATGGCTTTATGAAGATTTTGACCTTGGCTACGTTGAATAGATGGAATTTGGGCATACAGACATGAGGGTGGGTGAGTGACAGTCACAGCCAAGAGAAATGCCTGAAAGAAAAGGAAAGAAACACAGAAAACATGAACATGATAATTCAGGCTGATTGGAGTAGGAGGTGACTAGAGAGGAGACGGGAACAGGAGGAGTACTCGGAAATCCACAGTGGGCCTGATTGGCATGACCTTGAAAGCAAGGCAAAGAGGAAACAGGTGAACGGGAGCTTCTCAAGATTTTTGAATGAAAGGTAGGTAATGCGATCTCAGCCAGGGTTCATAAAGAACCATGGGCCTCAAAAAGTAGGATGGATAAGACTCGAAAAGGCTCTTCATTCAGAAACCAGAGATGAGGACAATAATAGTTAAGGTTTGGCACTGAGCTACAGCTACCGTTAGCATTGTTGGGATAAGTCAGAAATGAGTACTAGCTCTGAACTCTTCACACAGCAATTCTATTGCACATGCAGCAAAGCTTTGGGGGTATACATCTTATTTTTCCCTCTTGGAGAGAAACTTCTGCATGTATGTGCCCTGTGTTGAGTTGCATTACGAGGCATGGTTATTATAACCTGTCAGGGTAAAACAAATGAAAACTGAGCTGAAATTGGAGACAGCTTGGGAGGGCTGCCAACTTCCCATCACAATACATTCAGTATCGATACACAATACGCAGTGAAATCTGATATCAACTGCCTAAGCTCCCTTGTTTAAAAAAAAGGACTTATCCATTATGGCACAGAAAAAGACCCAATTTTTGTTTTCTGTACCCTATGGATGCCATGTCTTGTATACAAGACCAGAAATCTCTACTTCTTCCTAAGCTATTTTGTCCCAAACCCTCCTTACTAAGAAAGTTGTTCTCTTCAGGGAGCTGAGATTATTTTCCTCTAGTTCTCAGCTTTAGCGTTTGTTTCAAGTTCAAATCTTTATCACCTGCTTTCTGCAGCGTTTTGCAACCTCCAATCTTCTCTACGAAGAGATTTGCCGCTATTATGTGTCATCAGTGCCAAGAGCTTCTCGCTCTGAGCTGGGTTCTCGGCTGCTCTCGGCATTGTACACACACAGTGGGGGTGAAAGGCATCTGATACTGTTCTGTAGAGGAAAATCACTT